TGCTCACTCAAAATCCCTCAAATGTGGGACACCCTCATGTGGATGATTTCTTTCAATTCATCTGTTATGTGTTCAGAATAGCAGTTTTTTCCATATGTGCGTATTACCTTAGCTGTCTATTTTACTTTAACAGATGTCAGGTTTTGCCCCCCTCCAATTCGCTGTACTCTTTCTCAATATAAATAAATTAAGGGATGGCATCCCGACCCCAATTTGGGGCTTTGCCCACAAAAAAAAGAGAGTGAATTGCTTCTAAATTTCATTTTATGACCAGCTATTTGCAAATTTCATATACTAGGTTGATATGGTGCATAGACATTCAAGATTTCAAAAATTCAAGGAGAATCAGACTAAATAACACTCAATTTTCCCTCGCTCAAGATCACTAAATTTGCTAGGAGATCACTCTTTTTTCTTCTCAATTTCCCTACATTTGACAATTCTCTTTTGCAGCAGCAAATGCCACATGAACTCAAGAAGGAAGGATTGAATACGTAGAGTAAGTAACTAAGCACTTAATTTAGTAAGCATAATTGGTAAAATGTTGTAACATAACAAACTTTTCAGAAATCAGACGCTGAAGTTTAAGTTGGTACATAACTGATAATGACTTTTTACCCTAGCCAAATTTGTCAACTTGTTGTTTGTGTATTCGAATTCATTCTTCACATAGTACAAGGCATCGTAGACCCTGAATAAAGGTAACCACCAAACTAAACACAATAAACCATAGTTATGACTGATATCTATATGGATTAATCTTTTATATATTGACAATACATACACTATCACTATTGAATATATGACAATTCATTTAAATTTAAATTTGAATTCCAAATGTTATTTATGTATCATGTATCTAACCGTGATAGTATATACGCTGTCAGTGTATAAAAGATTTACTCTATCTAAATTAGATAAACCTAAAAATTAAGATGGTGTTTCCTTTTAAAATGGCTTCTTATAAACTAGCTAGAATGCTGTATCAATAAATAAAGAATAGCGGTCTTGCTAAAATAAAATTTTTTTCACAAGGATATTTGCAATCAATATTATTTATATACCCCATGTGCAAGAAAGCAAAATGTGGGGTCTTGATGGGTAATGAAATTTCAACTAACAAAAACCTTAAACTAACCTGCGCGCAAGAAAAAAAACTTAAACTAAATACACTGGATTTCAATTTTTCATCTAGTTGGTTGACTTGAAAATTATAGCCTAAATAACTTGTAGACTTTGTATAAATCAACAATTGTAACATATATATTTGAAGCTGATGTGCTCCATTAACAGATTGTTAGGCACGCCTAGCGCACGTGAAATAGGGTATATATAGTGACAAGAATTTCTTTCCACTTTTACAATGTATGCTTGGTGAAGAGGTGATTTTTGGCGGGTACTTAGTCCAACCGAAATCAGCTCTCTTGTTGATGTGGAGAGGTGAACTCGATTATCTCACCTCGGGTGGAATGAAATGAGGTTGCACGGTCGAAGTGGAAGGCGGGGCTTTTCCCCTAGGATCACTCCGACGATCAAGTTAGTATGAGAACGAGAAAAATAGTAGTATATGAGAATAAACAGTGTGCTTACTTGTTGGGAGTGTGTGTGGGGTATTTATAGGAGGAGAGTAGAGGACAGGACGGAAGGCTCATGCTAGTGGGACCCACTCTCTGGCATTACGGCTCTGTCCCCTGTCAGGAGGCCTGACCCTGACACTGTAGCCTTATGGGTATGATGACGGAGAGTATTGTGCAGGTGCCATTAAGTGCCTCCAGTGCTTTTCAGATAAAGCACTGGTCCCGGGTGATGTCAGGTGGCTCGACATCATCAGCGTGCAGCTGAGGTGGAGGTGCCGAGGTCACCTGCACGGTAGACTAGGGATCCGGCCGAGCTCAGGGGTTATGCCCAAGACACGGATGAGCTCTGATGAGGGACGAGGTGGGTTCACCTCAGACATGCGGGGTGGCCGAGGTGAGCATCCTCAATAAGCCCCCCAAGCCTCGGGAGCTCCGGGCCAGGGAGGTACCGAGGCTTCCTTGTGCCGAAATCGTAAAGAGTCGGGGTCCCGAAACTGCTCCGGAAGATGCGAGGACGTGACACGTGGGCGAGTCAGTTGACAGGACGTGATCATTGGTAACCGTCGCGTCGTGAAGTAGTGGAACGTTTCGTGCAAAGGGTGTCAGTCGAAAGGACGGGGCATTAATGAGGAGAGAGGGAGGCACGGCATTTTGAATTCGAACGTGGCCGTCCTTTCACATTCTTGCCGCCTCTTCGGATTCCCCCCAAACCCTTATAAATAGGGGGTCCTTTTCACCGTATGGCCATCACTTTCTTTCTTTGCCCGCGACTTGCAAAATTTACGAGTGTTGCCGAGATCAATCCTGCCAGCCGAGATTACAGCCGAAGTCATCATCTTCGTTCGATACCATAGTCAACAGTAAGTATCTTTCTTTCCATCTCGTCTTACACACATGGCCAAAATAGCTAAGACCCATAAAGAAACTGTGACACCGAGCTACCAGACCGAGGAGGGACCGGACACCTTGGAGGTGCCGACTTCATCCAGCTCAGAGAGATCTACCCCTAGTGATACGGAGGGGTCGGCCGAAGTGGGAACCAGCGAGGCAGCCTCGGATTCGGAGTCATCCGAGATGAGTGAGGGTGGTTCCGAGGTCGTCTACAATAGCGAGCTCGGAACTGAGATACCGCACGACGAGGGCGTATTGCAGCCAATCACTCTGAAAGATGTAGCTAACATAGACTTCGGCAAGATGCCGAAATTTAGAAGTCGTATGGGAAGAGACAGGGCTGAGAGGGTGATAAGGAAATATCCCTTCCGGCCGGGGTATCTCATCACCTCGCTTGGGCCAGACGACTCAGCCGAGAAGCCCCCTATGGGCATGGTGGCGATCTACGTCCAACAGCTGGAAGTTGGGCTGAGAATGCAGACGTCGAGATTCTTCAGGGACGTACTTCGTCACTTCCACGTGAGAATTACCCAACTCACCCCGAACGCGGTCCGCATTCTCGTGGGGTTCGAGATGTTGTGCCGACATCAAGAGGTGACTCCCTCCGTGGACCTCTTCCGCCGATGCTACACTCTCAAGGCACACGGGACGGACAAGGGATGGTTCTACATCTGCAATCGGAATAACTCCATCCCAAAACTCGTGATCGGTGCTCCCTCTTCGATAAAGAACTGGAAGCGTGACTTCGTTTTCGTTCCAGCCGTGGACTTCCCTTGGAATTTTTGGTGGAGGCCCATTAAATCAAAGGCCGACCCCTCAGTTGGGGACCACGAAGAGGGGTCCTTCCAGAAGTTGATGGGGTCTGGACTTCGGCTGTTCAGTAATGACTACCCCGAGGCCGTGCTGGTCGATGGGGGAATCAGTCGAGCCATGATCAGTCCTACCAAGCCTCCTTTCTTTTCCACTAAACTTACGAGACCTTGTAATTTTTCTTTCATAACTTTTCTTTCACTTCGGCTGTGGCAAATAATAATGTTTGGTTCTTGTGCAGTGGTCAAGTTGTCCGACATCATCACTGCTGGCTCAACCGAGGTGGCCAAGAGGTCGAAGAGGAAAGACTCTGGTGAGACCTCGGCACCTCAGCCAAAGAAGAAAAAAGGACAGGCGGCCAAGATCTCGGCAGCCCAGGACACTCCTACTACAGCCACGCAAAGTAGCTCGGCCGCCGTAACCTCAGGATCCACCTCGCCGGTGCCCGAAGGGGTACCCCTCGAAGTGGTCACTACGGCACTCTCCCCTCCTCATGGCCGAGGCAAGCAGCTGAAACCTCCTGTAAATGCAGTCTCGGGGACCTCGCTATGGAATCGTTTCCATAGCCCCCCGGTGTTTTCCGGGAAGGAGAAGACACACCCCGGCGAGCATTGGTGTCCGAATTGGAAAGTTACGGTCAACGACAGGTGCAACCATCCTCGGGTTGCCCAAGAGCTAGTGATGCACTCCACCTTGCCAAGGGACTTGGAGTTCATGAAGAAGCTGACCCCGGCCGAGATGGTTCAAAGTCTCATGGTGACCACAGCTTCCAACTCAGCCTTTGTGGCCGAGATGACACACCGATACTGTGCTCTGGTCGAGGAGCAGGACACAGGCAAGCTGCAGAAACAGATCTCTAAGTTGGAGAAAAAACTGGCGGTGTCCGAATCCGAGAAATCGGAGTTTTAAAGGCGACTTCAGGAAGCCGAAACTAAGGGTGAGGAGACCGAGACTACAATGAATAGTCTCAAATCAGCTCTCGAGGAAGAGCAGAAGAGGGGGGACGAGGTGAAGAAGTCCCATGAACAAGATCTCGAGGGTGCTAGAGTCTCGGCCGTGGACGCATTTCGGAAGTCTGAGCCCTTCACTAGGGATCTCGGCCAACTGCTCACGCCGAGCTTTATGTTCGGCTTCACTTCAGCCGTGGACGAGGTCGCAGCTCACCTCTCCTCCGAAGCCTTGGAGTCCTTTAGGAACCATGCCAACTACAACGAGAACTCTAAGGAGTTGTGCGATCGGTTGGCCGAGGGCCTCCAGGCGGGAAGGAATCTGGCCAAAGTCCAGGAGGAGTTCAATAAGTGGCTGTCCGAACTCGATGAAGCGTTCGAGGAGGACGAGGGGGAGGAAATTGATGGAGACCTCGGCGAGAAGGTGGGCGAAGTGCCTGGAGGGGATGAGCTTCACCCCGGCGGGGAAGAGACCAGCGAGAAGGCTGCCCAGGAGGGAGCCAAGACCGGGAATGGAGCCGAGACGGAAGACTAGACTCGTTAGGTGTTTAGGTGGGACGCCGAGGTGGGAGGTGCTTAGCAGCACTTCTGATCCCGGTCATGTTTTTTTGTATTGCCTTGCCTCTTTAAATGAAATGTCTATTTTTTCTCATCTCGGCACTTTTTATTTCTCGCTTCGTCCCTTACTTGTCCCCCTTATTTTTTTGATAGCGGATGTGTAACATCGGAGTGTTGAAAATAACAAGACATATGAAGTCACAACTTAGTAAAATGTTCAAGCATAATACAACTTAAGGTTCTCGGCGTGCCAAGACCTCGGCACTAATGAGCCATCCCGGTAGCTCAGTTTACAATATCCCTTAAGGTTAGATTCCACAACTCGGTAAGGGCCTTCCCATTTCGGGTACAATTTCCCTTGCGGTTCAGCTCGGCTGACTGAGTTTTTTCTGAGAACCAAGTTCCCTGACTGGAATCTACGGTGTCTGACGCGGGCATTGTAATAGTGGGCCAAAGTACTCTTGTAGGAGGCTATCCGAGCTGAGGCGAGGTCCCTTTGCTCATCGACGAGGTCGAGATCCAGCTGTCTCTCTTCGTTGTTCACCTCGGCTGCATAGGCTGCGAGCCGAGGGTTGGGGATAAGGATCTCGGCAGGGATGACAGCCTCGGCTCCGTAGGTCAAAGAGAAGGGGGTCTCTTGCGTGGCTGACCTCGGCGTGGTCCGATAAGACCACAGGACACTGGGGAGTTCTTCGACCCAAGATGTTCCAACTCGGTGTAGTCGGGTCTTGAGACCATGCAAGAGAGTTCGGTTGAAGTTTTCTGCTTGACCGTTGGCCTGGGGGTGGCCCACCGAAGTGAAATGTTGTTTGATGCCGAGGTTTTTGCACCAAGTTTTGAAGGGGTTCTCGGCAAACTGCCTCCCGTTGTCCGAGATGATGACCTGAGGTATGCCGAAGCGGCAGACAATGCATTTTCAAAAGAATTTTTGAATTGTCAATCTGGTGATGGTCCTCAGAGGCTCGGCCTCCACCCACTTGGTGAAGTAATTCACAGCGATTATCAGGAATGTATAACCCCCGGCGGTTCTGGGGAAAGGACCTATGATGTCTGTCCCCCATTGCTCAAACGGTCAGGGTGAGGTGATGGGAACCATGAAATTTGAGGGCTGGTGGTGCTCGGGTGCGTAGACTTGGCAGGAAGGACAGTCGAGAACGAGGTCCTGGGCGTCTTGCCGAACAAAGGGCCAGAAAAATCCAAGAAGCAAAACCTTCTTGGCTAGCATTCTGTGGCCGACGTGACCTCCACACAGACCTTCGTGGATCTCGTGGAGGACGTGGCGTCCTGTTTCGGGAGTGACACACCTCAGCCATGGGCCGAAATAGGAGCGTTTGTACAGCTCTCCATCGCGGAGAGCGTACCGAGCCGCCTTACGTTGTATCCTTCTCGCCTCGGCTCGGTCTTCGGGGAGGGTTCCCTGACCCAAGAAAAGGATGAACGGGGTCATCCAAGTGTCTTCAGAGTGCACGGGACAGGCCACCTCTTCCACGTATCCCGGTTCACTCAGGACTTCCACTAAAACTGTTTTGTTGAGGTCAGAGAATGACGTAGAAGCCAGTCGGGATAAGGCGTCGGCTCGCTTATTTTGGGACCGGGGTATTCTTTGGATTTCGAAAGACTCGAAGTACGCGGTGAGTTGGTGAACTTTGGAGAGGTACCGTTGCATGGTCTCATCCTTGGCCTCGTATTCACCAAGAACTTGGCGTACAACGAGTTGGGAGTCACTGTGGACGTGGATTCGCTGGGCGCCAAGCTTGCGGGCCAGCTGGAGTCCAGCAATTAAGGCCTCGTACTCGACTTCATTATTGGTGGCTGGGAAGCCAAAACGGAGGGCGTACGTGCACACTTCTCCCTGGGAGAATCCAGCTCCGCTGCCCTCTCCATTAGAGGATCCATCTACATACAATGTCCACAGGGATGGGGTGGACACCTCGACAAAGGCGGAGGTGGACTCTGGACCTTCTGTGAAGGTGAGTTCGGCAAGGAAGTCGGCTAAAGGTTGTGCTTTTATGGCTGTGCGGGGCTCATATGACAAGTCATACTCTGCCAATTCGACAGCCCACTTGGTGAGGCGACCGGAAGGCTCGGGTCGCACCAATATCTGCCGAATGGGCTGGTCGGTCCTGACGAAGATGGGATGAGTAAGGAAGTAGGGTTTCAGTCGCCGAGCTGCATGGATTAGTTCCAACACCAGTTTTTCCACCTGAGTGTATCGAGTCTCTGGCCCGGGGAGAGCTCGGCTGACGTAGTAGACTGGCACTTGAGTGCACTCATCCCGGATAAGAACAGCGCTAACAGCCTCGTCGGCTGCGGAGAGATAGAGGTATAGCTTCTTCTCGGGCCGAGGTGAAGCGAGAGTTGGTAGGTGATGGAGGTACTACTTTAACTTGTCGAAGGCAACCTGACACTCCTCAGTCCAGGTAAACTGATCAGCCTTTTTTAGCACCTTAAAGAAGGGCAGAGCTTTCTCAACAGATTGGGGCAAGAAGCGATTCAACGCGGCCAGGCGTCCATTCAGCTTTTGGACTTCTCGGATGTTCCGAGGTGGGGACATGTCCTGAATGGCTTTGACCTTGTCGGGGTTGGCCTCGATTCCCCGGTGGGAAACCAGATACCCCAAGAATTTTTTCGAGGTGACTCCGAAGACGCACTTTTTGGAATTTAGCTTCATCCTTAAGTCCCGTAGGACACCGAAGACCTCCCTCACGTCTGACAGAAAGGATGAAGTGGTGAGACTTTTGACGAGGATGTCGTCCACATAGGCCTCCACATTGCGGTCGATCTGATTCTTGAAGAGTCAGTTGATCAGTTTTTAGTAGGTCGCCCCGGCGTTCTTTAGACCGAACGGCATGGTAGTATAACAATAAACACATTGGTCCGTGTAGAACGCCGTTTTCTCTTGATTCTCTTCACTCATTCCTATCTGATGATACCCTTTGAAGGCATCCAGGAAGCAGAGGATCACGTGTCCCATTGCCGAGTCGACGAGGGCGTCTATTCTCGGCAGGGGGTAGCAATCTTTGGGGCAGGCCTTATTGAAGTCGGTGAAGTCCACACACATTTTCCATCCACCGATGTCCTTTTTGACCATGATTGGATTGGACAGCCAGGTGGGGTATTGGATCTCATGGATCATGTTGGCGGGCAAGAGTTTGTTGACCTCATCTGATATGCCTTGCTACGTTCGGGGCCGAAATGCCTTCGTTTCTGCCGCACAGGTCGGGCCTGTGGGTTAACGTTGAGTTGGTGAATCATGAGCTCGGGTGGCACTCCGACCACTTCATCTGCGGACCACGCGAAGACGTCCCGGTGGTCCTCGATCAGGGAGATCATTTCTTCTTTCAGGGGTGAGGGGAGTCCGGCCCCTACTTGGACCACTTGGTCAGGTTTCGCTTCATCCAAGACCACTTGTTCCACCTCATCCCCGGACTCAAGCCTGTTGGGCTCTCCTGCCTTCTGAGGGTCGATGCAGTCTATGGAGAGGACCGCTAGTCTCTTTTCTTCTGACCTCGGTAAGGGCGGGGTGTGACTGCTGCTTGAATGGTGGCGAGGTAGCATTCCCGGGCGGCGCCCACGTCGCTGCTCACCTCGGCCACCCCCGCAGGTGTTGAGAATTTAAAACTCAGGTGGTAGGTGGAGTATACGGCTCTCAAGGCGTTGAGCGTGGGCCGGCCTATCAGCATGTTGTAGGGGGAGTCTGCTTTGACCACCGCAAAACTGACAAGCACAGTTCGGCAGCGTGGATGACACCCGATAGTTACCATCAGGGTCACCATGCCCTCCGGGTGGACGACGTGTCCCCCGAAACCGACAAGGGGAGTTCTGACCGGAGTGAATTGCTCCCGGGTCAGCTTCAAACTCTCGAAAGTTCGGTAGTACAGGACGTCTACCGAGCTTCCGGGGTCAACATAGACCTTTTTGACTATATAATTATTAGTAATGATCTCGATCACGAGGGTCTCGTGATTACTGGAGGCGGCGGGTACAGGGTCACGGGGACCATAGGTTATATCCTCGGACAGCTTGAAACTTGGCTCGGCCACCTCCATACTGGTTTGGCGGTAGGTCCTTTTTCGGGAGTTCTGGCTGTCTCCTCCCGTGGGGCCACCCGAGATGGTGTTGATCACCCCGACAATATTTGGGCCGTAGCCTGGTGATCCGTCGCGTGGAGGCCTCTGATCCCCCTTTCGGTCCTCGGGATCTCGGCATTGAAACTTAGTGTCCCGCCTGTCTTCTCGGTGAGGATCTCGGCTCTCCCGGTGGGAGGCGCTTCGGTTGAAGCCCCCATCTTTACGGACGAATTGCTTCAGGTATCCTTGTCGGATCAGATTTTCAATTTCTCGTTTCAAGTCATTACAGTCTTCGGTCTCGTGCCCCACATCTCGGTGGTAGGCACAGTAGAGGTTGGAATTCCTCTTATCCCTTCTTCCTGGGATCTCAGGAGGAGTTCGACCGAGGTGGTTCTGCCTCATCACAGCCAAAACATGGGATCGGCTGGAATTGAGGGGTGTCAGCTCGGCATCCGAGGTGGACGACCTCCCCTTCACGATCCGATCGAAGACGCTTCGGCGGTCTCGGAACTGGCTGGATGAGCTGCCGGGGCCTTGTTCAGCTCGGCCGGTGTCCTTTCTCCTCCGGGATTCTTGCCCGGTACGGGCTGCTTGGGCCTTCCGCTTCATGCGATTCACGTCCTCACTTTGGATTCCTTGGTCAACTTGTTCCCAAAGTTTCCGAAATGTGCGGGGGTAGTCTCGATGTATTTCGGTGTTGAAGATTCCCGCAATCAACCCGTTGGTGAAAGCGGCTATGATAACTTGCTCATTTTGATCAGGTATCTGTACGTTCTCCTCATTGAACCTCTGCGCATATGAGCGCAGTGACTCGCCGGGAATCTGTTGCAAATTCAGGAGGTAAGCTGAAGTTTTAGTAATGGGTTGGGACGACACAAAGCGGTGGATGAACCGGTCTATCAGCTCATCCAGGGAGGAAATGCTCCTTGGTTCTAAACTTCATAACCACTTCCGGACAGTCCCATATAGGAAGATGGGGAAAACCCGACAGATCACGGCGTCGGGGACGCAGTAGAGTCGGAATGCGGAGATGAAGGCGCGGAGGTGATTCTCGGGGTCACTTCGGCCGTCATAGGTGTGCAAGTTTGGAAGTTTAAAATTCGGGGGCACCATTTTCCCATTGATGTCATCAGTGAAGGGCGGAGCCCTCATGTAGTCAGAAGCTAGGCTTCCGGGACGCCGAGGTGGGTCCTCGGCCCGTTTCCCTAGCAGTCCCCGGGAAAACGCCAGGGAGATGGAGGCAATTTTGGAGGTTGCCTTGGAAGAGGTGCGCCTAGAGGTACTCCGAGAAAGACGCCCCTCATCAGAGTCCTCACCTGAGGGCACTTCAGGAGAATTCGTTGGCCTCCGCTTGGAAGACTCGGCCTTTTCTTTCCCCTGCCTTTTGAGGTATCTCCCTAATTCCTCAAAAATGTTAGGGTTGTCTGATACGAATTCGGCCATCTTGGCGATGGCGTCCTCGTTATTGGGTTGGATCCTTTGGGACCCCTGTTCTTCAGAAATGCGATCTTGCTGGGCCCCCGAGGTCTGCCCAACCCCGGTTGAGGGAACTCTTCCGCTTCTGGAGCGCGTGGATCTCATTTTAGTAGTAGTCTCGTTCCCACAGACGGCGCCAATTGAAGAGGTGATTTTTGGCGGGTACTTAGTCCAACCGAAATCAGCTCTCTTGTTGATGTGGAGAGGTGAACTCGATTATCTCACCTCGGGTGGAATGAAGTGAGGTTACACGGTCGAAGTGGAAGGCGGGGCTTTTCCCCTGGGATCACTCCGACGATCAAGTTAGTATGAGAACGAGAAAAATAGTAGTATATGAGAATAAACAGTGTGCTTACTTGTTGGGAGTGTGTGTGGGGTATTTATAGGAGGAGAGTAGAGGACAGAACGGAAGGCTCATGCTAGTGGGACCCACTCTCTGGCATTACGGCTCTGTCCCCTGTCAGGAGGCCTGACCCTGACACTGTAGCCTTTTGGGTATGATGACGGAGAGTATTGTGCAGGTGCCATTAAGTGCCTCCAGTGCTTTTCAGATAAAACACTGGTCCCGGGTGATGTCAGGTGGTTCGACATCATCAGCGTGCAGCTGAGGTGGAAGTGCCGAAGTCACCTGCACGGTAGACTAGGGATACGGCCGAACTCAGGGGTTATGCCCAAGACACGGATGAGCTCTGATGAGGGACGAAGTGGGTTCACCTCGGACATGCGGGGTGGCCAAGGTGAGCATCCTCACTTGGAAATACTGAGAATGGAGTAGACAATTCATAATTTCAAGATTTGGGGGAAAATTCCGCGGCTTTACTTATTGCGAACCCAAAAGAAGATAACCCTCCAACCCAAACAATAACAGAAGCCGTTGAGGAGAATTTTCCAGAGAAAAGATGACTATTCACTGTCATTTGTGTATCAAAACGGGTTGGACTATGTTACCATGGAGGTTAACGAAACTCAAGGGATGTCTCCACTGAAGAGATTAGACTGAACTCAAACTAGGTTTTTTTTTTCCCTTAATCGAATTCTAATGCAATTATTTTCACCTTGAACCAAGATACCTGCCTCTAGCTAGATGAGCTTCCTTAGTCTCTTAAGATAGTAAGTTTTGAGCATCTGTTCTAGTTTCTAGGATTTAAGTAATCAATTGCATTTCAGATTGTTCTACAAATTTTATTGGCATATTAAATCAAGTCTAAGAAAAAGAAATTTCTATATTATTATTGAATAGTAGAATTTTAATCAAATAAAGTTTTTAGTAGTTGATTAGGGTAAGGTTATGGTAGTTTTATTGTTTAGAAACTTATATTATGTAAGATAATTTATTGTCATTGTTAAGACTGGGGGTCTTAATATTTTGTCAATAGAGAAGAGTTAAAGTTTGATAGACTTGTTTTTATGGCGTTATTGATATTATATTGTTGATTTATTTCTTTTCTCCTACACATATTTTTATGCGTACGAATTGTCTTCCCATATATATTGGTTTAATAAAATTCATCTTCTATAGCTTTTTGATGAAATTTTTTGGATTCTAAATCTTGCACCAGAACTCTAGGTCCAAGAAATTAATTTTGGGATGCCTGTGAGCATTGAAGAATTGGCCCAACAATGGAATAATTAGTGTGGGTGTTTTTGCTTTTAGAGTTGAGTCACAAGAATTATTCAGAAAAAGTCAGTTGATTGAGTTAGACTATAATGTCAGTATCCAGTCGATGAAGATGGGCCATAAGATTAGTCCGAAATTGTTGCAAAGATAGAGATTAGAGAAGAATTTTACAAAATATGTCTGTCTTTTAGATAAAGTTTAGATAGAGATTAGAGAAGAATTTTAGATAAAGTTTTAGATAAATTTTGTGCAAATATGTCTGTCTTTAGATATTCTACCTGGGATTTTATGCAAATATGTTTGTGACTAGATTTTATGGTGAATGAATTTTTTTTTTTATGGGTTATATGAAGAGACGGGAACATGATGACTGTGGTAGCCAGATGACACATCTTTTAGCAAGATATCCATCTAAGATTCTCGTCATTTGCCCTCATAAGCTTGGAAATCATTGCTTGTTTTATGGATAGCATAAACAACTATTTGCAGCAAGCCTTTACCCACCAACTGCTTTCTCATCTTTTCTTTCTTTTTGTCCTAATATCTCTCGTAGGTCGATAATTTTACCAACTCTTGGAAAGGGTGGAAGGATGCTACGGCAATGATGAGGGCAATGCTTTATTCTTAGTTGCCACTTGCCACTCGGATCTGTATTTGCTCTTTTATATGAGACAAAATAAGTATAAAATTTTTTTTATCACGATCAGTGGCGAAGTGAAGACCCTAAGGTCAAGGGGTTCAATCTCCGACAGTATATAGAACACAGAAATAGTGAATTAAATTAAATGAGGGGCTATGTAAAACATATATTTTTTTCTATATAAAATATGCTTTTAAGTTTAAATTATACCTAAATTTAATAATAAAAACCACTCTACCATTTGTGTTTAGAAATATCGATAGAACTTATACTTGGATTAATATCTATGTTTTTAACATTCTTGTAAATAGTGACAATTATGAAATTTTTAATTATTTGATGTCGGGGAGGGGGAGGGGAGGGGGCAAAGCACTCGAAACGAGAATTTTATAGACATTGGGGGGCAATGCACTTAGAAAAGAGGGCCTTAAAGATTTTAGGAGGGGGCAAATAGAGAGCAATTCTTGAAATTTTTAAATTTTTTAAGCCTAAAAAACAATTTTCTCAATGTTGAGGGAGGGGTGGACAATTATATATGGCTCCACCGCTGAACACGGTGGTAGCAATTTAATAAATAGCATTGAAAACAAAGCAAATATAAGTTTTTTTCTCTAAAATTTCATTTTTATCTAAATTTTTCTAAAAGTATATGTTTGTCATCAAATTTTATTTTGAACATTATATTAACTTTAAATTGAAGGGTGATTTTATAATTTCATAATAATTTTATTTGAAAAGTTTAGCTATACAACTTTGACAATTAAATCTAACAGTTTCACTTACAAGTGGTTAAATTATAGGTTTCTAAACCACAAGAAGTTAAAAGAGTACATACGCCAAACCATAGGGAAATATTTGTATTTTACCCTTTCTAAAACTCCACCAAAAGTTATATAGGTTTAGTTTCATAAGAAACTTCTTTTTGGTTTTCATTTTTCTTATGATAGCTGATAACGTTTACAACCATCGTGTAATGTTAATTTCTGTAAACCAACTGTGGGTGGGTACATACACTACCCGGTCTTAGAATATACAAATTTTGTATCATGTTGATATATCAAAGAGCCAATGAACTAAATGGGTTCAATCATTTTAACAGGTGTCGAAACTGTACAATAATAAATATCTGCTCAAATTGAATACAAATTTTGCATCTAGCAGTAAGTAGGGTCAAATTTTCAGGGACTGTGCGAAATTAGTTTCTTCTAGAGTTCAGGATATGGGGGGTTTTTAATAAAAATGACAATAAACTATACTACTTGAATATAATGAATAGCTAAAAATTAAATGGCAAATTATAAAGACGCAAATAATATTGGACAAGTTCTAGTCAAGAAGCAACTTCGGAAATGATTCTCGTAATTGATCATCGATACAATAATAATTCCACTTATAAACTGATAAACAGGTTATAACTGCCAAACAAGCAATGACAGTCAATTTCTCCTTAAATCATCAATAGTCAAGGTACGACCATTAGCCATTATCCTAATTACGAAATAACTCTAAATACGACCTTAGAGTTCAATTTCTCAATTACTTCAAAAATTAGAGAAACCCTATTCCAACCAAACAACACGTTACGAGGGTTGTTTCAAATTAACCCATATATTTCCCTGACACAAACCCAATCATGCTAGTTACCACTAATTTAGAATAATTAAACAATTACGGACTTAATTACTCTAATCGGTTTTAAGTTATTGAATTAGTCTAAAATTCGGGCCCAAAATAATTGAATAATACAACAACCATAAAACATAAAGCAGGAAGTATACGAATACTAGAAAATAATAAGAATGAATAAAATGAGTTCGACCTCACATATGTTTGGAATCGCACCTTCAAATTGGCCTTTGACTAGAAAAAGAAATTTAGATACTTTCTATTGAAAGTAACTCATGCAATTCCATTGAAGGAAATTGCACAAACGTTCAACAAAAGAAGAAAAACAAAGAAATGACAAAAACAAAGAGAAAAGCCAAGCGGCTCTTATTCTTCAAGGCCCCAGAGTCGCACGCAATTGTCTCTCTCAAGTACTAATCAAATGGGAGCCGACCTTTTCTCTTCCTATTTTCTAGTTTCCAAAATAACTTAAACTTCCTAATTTTACTGAAAAGAAGATATTTTCTAATAATCTAAGACGTTTCCCAACTGTATTTGGAAATATGCCCCCTGGTCTTTGACTTGAATTGGAAAATTGTCATGCGCGAATCCAAATTTTTTTGGATTTGACAGTAATTCTTGAAAAATTACTCTTTTTATTACATTTTGTTCATTGATAAGTGCATATTTTGAGTGTTTTAAATGTGTTTTATTGTTTAGTTTTGGTGTGTTTTAACAACTTTTAAAGATAATTAACTAGGATTTTAGTGAAAATATGCATTCTGTGGTTTAAGTGGTAAAAATTGCATTTCTATAGATTTTTATAATAAAAACTTCATGTTTTTGTAGGTTTAATAATTCAATCATCAAATGGCATATATTCAGAAGAGAATTGGATGATTGATGATAGTTTGAAGTGACAAAAAAAGAATATGAAGTGCAAGAGATGAAATGCAATCAAGTTCTAAAGAAAAGGAGTTTCACAGCTTTGACACATTGTGGTATTTTGATTATATCTTGAGCTAAAATGATCGGATTGAGGTGATTCTTATACCATTTTAAATTCAAGAGATAGATCTACATTTGGTATGAAGACATAGAACTCCAGTTTAGTAGTTTTCATTGTCAAAAAGTCGAAATACTGAAGTGCAATTTCATGGTCGAAAGCTGAAACAAGGTTCTGACCAGGCAAGGATATTTTGGTCATTTCTCGGTCCACAGAGCTCCAAATTGGATGATTCTTGATGCATTGGAAAGCTACTCAAAGAGCTACAACTTTTGTGTTTTATATAAGAGAATTCAGCTTCTAACATCAAGCAAATATCAGTTGAAGTTAGACCAAAAACAGAGGAAGTACATCCGAGCTCGGATCCATTGCGATCCGATCCCTCGTCTGATCTTCTGGAGCAGTGGATCCGAGGCCATAGGATCCGAGCTCGGATCCACTATAGCAGAGCTCGGATCTAGCCCTCGGATAGCTACTTTTGGCTCCGTAACTGGCTCTGCAACTTGTGCTCTTTTTACACAAGCTTTTTAACCAATTTATCTGCAAGAAATCCGGCTGAAACTGAGCATGCAAGTATGGAGAAGTCAAGAAACATCTTTTGGTGATTCCATGAAGCAATTACATCAACTTTAACAACTCACCATAAGATTGAATTCCTCTATAAAAAGAAGCCTTGAAGAACATTTTCATAACTTTTGAAACTAGAGAAACTCCACAAAAATGTAGTTCTCACTAGTTTTTCTTAGTTTAATTAGTTTAGTAGTTGAATATAGAGTAGTGTAGTTCATCCTACTTGTTTATTAGCTAGGCAAAGATGAAGATGGAATTGAAGAAGCCAAGGAAGAACTCATGTGACAAGGGTTACTTTTCCTTTCTAACTCTTTATCTTTTGTACTTGATTCCAAATTTAGTTAATATACAAGTTTTAGATTTTATTTTTTTTATGTGTCTTTAAAGTTTATGCCTTGGGTTTGGTTGAACTTTCTATGATTGTTAGTGTTTATTATTTGGTTATTTGAGCAAATTGTTTAGCACTTTAGCTCTTTAAATCATGATTAATCTGGTACCATTAATTATGACTATATAAGGTGTTGTTTCTGCAATAAAAATTGAGATTTAACACTAGTTCAAAAAGTGCTAAACATAGGAAGTACACTCACGAAAGTAGAGGTTCACCTATGTGGTTTTGGTGATTAATTTCATGTAATTTCACTGAAAAAATGAACTTGTAACTAATTTCATAACCATGAGAATAGGTATGGATTAGTTATAAGTATAATTTATTCACTACGAAAGTAGGTTTCATATGCATAAGGAAATTACACCATAACTAACCTAGATAGTAGTATTCAATTATCTAAATATAGCACTTGCATGAGTAGTTAGGAATATCACAACTTAAGGAGCTTTCATTTGTTATTTTTTTACATAAGTTAAGTAGGTTTTATTTGTTATAATTCATTGATAGTCTAAATAATAGAGGAGCTTTAGTAGTGCCGGCAATTGCAATCTTCCTTGTGGGATCGACCCTTAATACCCTATACTCGTTCATGATTCGTATACTTGCGATAAATCGCGTGTGGGGAATTTAGGAATTATAAATGTAAAATTTGATTGTGGATGAACTAATTGTGTATGTATACCCCGCACACGTCACTCATTTTCCTACAATTGGCACCATTAATCAAATATAAGTAGAATCTATCAATTAAAATAATATTTGGCTAAAATCAAGGGAAAATAATTATAAATTTAGCAACTAATTACAACCTATCACATTTTGATCACCAGGAGGAACTTCTTACAGTATTAAGAGCTTTAATACAATCTCCAAGTAATTTCTTTGTTTAAAAAACAAACACATGGTAATCAGTCAAATTAAGCTGGAAAGTTGTGCATTTAACTACTCTATTAACTATTAAGATTTCAAAGTATGATGATTTTTCTTTTTCAGGTGCATTGGGAAGCCTCAGACCCATTACAGAGTAACTGATTGACGACTAGTAACCCTATTACATTAAAAAACACAAATTGTGCCTATTTAAAAACATCTGGTGGATTGCAGAGAATCAGCAGGTGCTGCTGATGATCATGGCTCCAACTCTGATGACATGATGTTGAAGTGTGGGCTGTTCTTACTCCATCCTTCACTACAAAAATCCTATGGACTGTATCCCTTCTCCCGTGCAAGTTCCAGTCCGTAGGTCATGCCCCATTATTCATCTGCGACATCAGTAAAAAGTGCGAATTAAAAACCATTACAATTAGCAAGTGAAAGATCCAACTTCAAATTATGGTATTGGTCAGTCTTTGGAGAAGTTTAAGCTAGACTCACTTCATTGGTTTCCTCAACTCTTGGATAAAATGTTATGGTTCGACAATACCCACAATGTAGATTTCTTAGGCTTATGTAGATTTAGATTATACGTAGTAATACAAGAACATATCTCGGTCTAATCGGGAAAAATCCGGCCAATCTGGTGCAACATTGTGATCCAAACTAACATGAATTATTTGCAATTTGGGCTGAAGCATTCATGTGGAGGTATAATAGAAGAAGAGACGTGTTTTTGTCTAATTAGAATGACTGTGCCACTAACTCGATCATAAATGGTAGAAACTACAGTCAATCCAAATGACATGAGAAATACAGAGGTGGACTTGATCAGGTACAGAAAGAAAGTTAGTTCACAAGGCTGATTTGACGGAGATGGAGCGATCAGTAATGGCACCACGATGGACATTGTTGCTCAACAATAAGTTTTTCAGCTCGCTCACAAATCTGTCCATTGCCAAACCCGGCAGAAAAATAGGAACTACTCTTCCTTCCTCCCCCTTCTTGTTCTTGAAGGGTATGTGAAAGCTGGCAACAGTACCCTTGGCCGGCCCCCCATACACCGGCTTTCCCCAACCAAAGTCCACGTCAGTCAACCTAGACCGGGTACCATCCGACACAAGATAAGTCCTCACCAGAGTGAAATGAGGCCTCCCTTTAATAACCATTAAATCAGCCACAGATCTCATGTAATCTTCTGTCACAACACGTTTGAGCTTGGTCACCAGCTCCACTGCATATCCCACAGGCTTGTTGCATAGCTCTCCAGCTGTCGTCAGCGCCGTTGGATATGCTATAACATTGCCGTAGTATCCTTGGGGCAAGGGAGGATTGAACCTGGAACGAGCATTAACAATGCACATCACGCGGACTTCCTCGTTAGGTTCAGGCTGGAGGGCGATGGTTCGGCAGCGCCAGAGGCAGGCTGTGAGAACATCAAACGTCGAACACTTGCGACTAAGGTCAAGAGGGATCGATTTTCTCAGCGCTGAGATCTCTGCCGGGCCAAAGAAGAAAGAACGATGGACCATGTCATCCTGGGGAATGATGGATCCCTTGGTGTCAGCTACCTGGTCGTATTCGTGGTGGGTGCACGTCACCCTTGGCGGGTCTCTAGCATTGAGGAGCTCTCTCTGCCATACTGGCTGTATAGATGGGGCAGAGGCTCCCCGTGCGATTTCTCCCACCTCATTCATGAACTGACTGACTCCAGCACCATCAGCCATGGTGTGATTTAGGCGATATGCGAAGATGAAACCACCGCATCTTAAACGAGTTACCTGCGTAACGTTTTACATGATGGGAATTGGACAGGTACATTTGGTCTTAAGTATAACTGGTGCGATTGTTGTACACATTTCATGGTTTTGTGTACACTCAAATAACTTTTGTTGTATTACATGATTTGATGTACATTTCTATAACTTTTATTGTACATCATGAAATACAACAAAGTATCATGAAAAAGTATAATAACTATACCAACAGCACCTGAAACCAATCGTACCTATCTGAAACCGTATATAGTACAATACCATTACAGTTATATATATGATCAGTGAATATCATAGTTTAGCTAGTTAATTAGCTGCTACTTACTGGAACAAAATATGAAAATACCCACTACTATGACTTCCAATCGCTATTTATCGTAACTAAGAATTTATAATTCTACCAAAGAGTTTCATCCAAATCCAAATAGTTACTCCGTATCGTGATACTAAATTTTTTCATACAATAATTGTAGATGCATTTTACAGAATTCCCATTGGCACTCAGTAATTGATTGCAAGTGTAAGAACAAAAAATAAAGCCCACTCCCTGAACAATTTAGTTGGTAGTGGACAGGGCCAGGCCTACTTGTGGGGCCTTTATCATATTTTTTTACTTAAAGGGTACTCCAACCTTTCGCTAGACTAATTACTAAGGCTGTGTAGAGCCTTGTCACAATGATACACACAAGGTTTATCATTGAAGTTGCCAATTTATGTGAGACGCCACCTTAGACGAAACTAGGCGAGATTTATCTAAAAGAGTGTAGATTAGAATCATGGATATCCTAGCGCAAAAGAGGGTAGCAATTTTCTACCGTTAAAAATAGGTAGTATTGCCAAGTATTCAACTATCAATTTACCTCTTCCTTGAGAAACTTAGAAGAATCTGGGAAAGAGTGATGGGGACACCTTCACATTCACGAACCAAAAAAAAAAAGACACAAAAGAGTGGTACAGTTGTTGGGTTGTACCTGTATAAGCAGTAAAGGACAGTGAAGGATTCCTCCAGAGTGAGGAACATCATAGAGGAGCTCGTCCAAGCACGGGAATGGAGGCTGAAGCGCATCCCCAAACTGCTCCAGCGTCACGTCTGCATCGGCTTCAATGAACAGAACACCCTCTCCCGTGCACTCAACCATCAGCTTTCTTCCGGGGCCTTCTCTCAGCCGCCCTGCAAACGGGTAGTAGAACACCAGAGCCTTCGCAATAGCCTCCCTGATCACCTTCACGGGGTCTAATCTCCTCCTGGTCCCATTAATCCTGGGATCATTATTATGGTTATGGTAAAAATGGATGGCGGGGAGTTGAGTGCGAAGACCCTCTTGATCGTCGATGTCAGAGAGGAGCTTGAATTCCCTAGGGGTGGACTTGGCCGGACGGACCAGCTCAGGCTTTTGTCTGGTCACCCTGAATGTCAAAGACTTTTTTGAGTTTGATGATGCTGATCCGGATCCCATTCTACCGTCCAGAAACAAACTTCCACCACCTACTGATTATCTACAACAAATATATTTCTTTAGGAAATGCAAACAAGCAGCAAGAATGTTTTGCATGTGTATAACATATATGCGATAATGTCACATATCTCCCTGAGGTTTAGCCTAATTACAGGAAGCTCCCCTCAGGTTTGTATAATAACAATTACCGCCCTTCACTATTTTAAAGGGCCTGACTCCTAACCATAATTTTCAGGAAAAAAAAAATGCCAAAAACCGAAATGAAAATGAAGAAGTCACCAGAAGACTCCAACTCCATTTCCTCCACCCTTTTCACCCCTCATCAAATCTTACCCTTTTTCAATTACTTGGCCAGCCTCATAACTTTCAAATCTTCCCTTGCCGTCTAATCCTCATCTCTGTCGGCAGTTATAAACATCCTGCCGTAGCAAAAAAATTTAAAAAAAAGGTGAATAATAGTGTCCAAAACCATGAAGCTATCAAACATGCAAGAAAATCACAACATAGTCCAACCAATAGTAGACAAGAAATCGTGAATTCATCAGCCACATATACTTGCATATCAGCCTCAATCTTGTGATTTGCAGTACCACAATCAATTTTCCAGCTACCGATGGGTTCCTTTCGTCATGTCACTCGAAAGTCCGAGGAGATCAACTTTTGTTCATAGAGGATTCAGCCATGATAAATCGGTGCAGGAACACGTACTTGTCTGTACTTTTTTGGAAAAATGAGGAACGAGGGAAGTGTGGCAGTGGTAGAAGAAGAGGGCATGGAGTGAAAGACTTGGGAAAGAGATGTATGAATTTATGTGAGACACAATTATAAGGGGAGAATGAGGCAAGCGTATAACTCAATTAATATTTGTTTTGTATTATGGATAATATCAGTATCCTCCTTGAGGTTTCTCTTAATTCATCTGGCATCTTTAAACTTTTAAAAATATCACTTACCTCCCTTATTTTTGTTATTTGTGTAACGAATTTTTTAGAAATCCAAACTACTCTTTTACTTGCTAAATAAAAATATTCCCATACAACTTTATTTACTTTAAAAAATTATCACTTAAAAATAATTTCTGGTAGTACTATCACATCATAATGCTATATCCCATAAAAATATAAATTTAAAAAATAAAAAATTTATTTGCAAAGAAATACACTTGCGCTAGTTTAGCTATATATGTTCGAAACTGATTTCTTATGAACTTTATATTTTTTCCAACCTTTTCTCAACTCGTGCCTAAACCTTTAAACTATACCGATCATTATAAAAAAAAATCAACTCAAAATAAGCAAATAAATCATACCACACTCCATTACAATCATGAAAAGCAAAAGATAAATAAGATTCAATTTATAATAATTTACAAATGAAATATTGTATAGTCATCTAAAAAAATGAGTAAAAGAAAACGTTGGAGAAAAGGGAAAGAGAAGAAAGTGACTTTTGTTTCTTTTTTTTTTTTAAAAAATTTTTTGAGTTTCATTTATTTAATATGTGAATTATGCATCAAATAAAAGTTAATATAGCTTTTTACAATTATTTTTAAAATTTTAGGAGTGCCAACTAATATTAGAAGAAACTTCAAGGGAGGTTTCTGATATTATCCCTTGTATTTTATTATTCCTTGAAAATTTATCCCCTTCTAAAATTTATTTGTAGGAGTGTCATTTTGGGTTATTCATGGGAATTTATTTATAGGATAAGAAGTGAGGGCTAATGAAGTGCTTTGGCTCTTTGTCTCTTTGGCTATTTGAGTTCACATACAGCTCAATCGTTGTTTTATTATTCCTTCAAATGTTATCCTTTTTCTAAAATTTGTTCATGGGAGGATCATTTTAGGGTGTTCATGGGAATTTTATCTCCAGGCCAGCATATTGGGTTTGTTTTGTTGTCTTAAAGGTGAAATAGGGGGTGTAAGTGATAGTTTCTAAAATTGAAGGGAGCTTGACAGGTCCATAAATATATTCATATAATAAGTTATCATGAATAAGACCGGGGCACGGCTTGTATCTTGACGTCTAGCGTGGCGGCTGATGCTTGATAGATGCCGTTCTTCTTGACTACTAGGGCTGCAAACGAGTCGAGTCGAGTCGAGCTTTGAGCTAATCGAGCCGAGCCTCGACTAAATTTTACCAAGCTCGAGCTCGAGTTCGAGCTCGACGAGCCAGCAATTTTCGAGCTCGAGCTCGACTCGAATCAAGTCGAGCCGAGCTCGAGCTCGAGCTCGAGCTCGAAAAATATAAAAAAATAATTATTTTATTTTTTAAAAAATAAATAAAATAATATTTTTTTCTTAATAAATAATAAAATATTAAGGATATATACGTAATTTCACTATGAAAATAAAAAATTTAAAAAAAATATAAATATAATATACATAATTTTATTATTAAATAAAAATAAAAATAAAAAATATATATATATACTCAAGCTCGCGAGCCGGCTCGCGAGCTAACGAGCTTAATATTCTGAGCTCGAGTTCGAGCTCGAGTTTGACTCGAGCTGGCTCGAGCTCGACTCGAACTCGATTAATCTCGAGCTCGACTCGAGCTTGACTCGAGCCGCTCGCGAGCGGCTCGATTCGTTTGCAGCCCTATTGACTACCACCTGAACTTCACCATTTAACCTCACAAATTGTTTATTGACAAGTGTTCAGATCCGTTTGTGCAACTAATAGAAAAATATTATTAAAGTTTGAGTAAAGTTATATCATTTTTAAAAGAATTGGTTTTATATTGTTGACAATAAATATTAAAATAATTTATCAAAATAAAAGGCATAAAGAGATAGTTATTTATAAATAATTCATAACCATAATTAGCAGTTGAATATATTAGGTAGGCAGTAAGTAAGAATATTTTAGAAAAAAGGGCAAATTTTACTTTACCCCCTGTGGTTTAGCGTTTTTCACATAACCTCCCTATAGTTTCAAAAGCTATACATAACCCCCTTATGGTTTGGATTAAAGTGTCAAACTAATGGAAATAGTCACTCGTAACGGCGTCACCTAAAATGTCAAAAATACCCTTATGTAAGGTTGAAATTTATGTATTAACCAAGGGGGGTTATGTGTATGTTTTGAAAATCATAAGAGGGTTATATGGTAAAGTATTAAACCATAGGGGGGTTATATGGTAAAATATAAAAATCATAGGGGGTTAATGTGTCATGTATTTATAAGGGTAATTTTGACATTTTTAGAAGTTCCGTTACGAGTGACTATTTCCGTTACTTTGACACTTTAATCCAAACCATGATGGGGTTATGTATAACTTTTGAAACCATAGGGGGGTTATGTAAAAAAGGGTAAACCACAGGGGGGTAAAATGTAATTTATCCTAGAAAAAATATAAAGTGACAAAATTTTATTTATACCAAAAACCGCATCTCCCTTTACATATGGTATAGACGTTGAAGCATGAGTTAGTAGATATGATTTTCCTATGAACATCATAAACATGTGTTAATGGTTATATTAATACTGAATCTAAGGGGTTAATTTTTTTATTACTATTCTCTCTTCTTTTTTTTCCATTTTACATGAACATGTAGCTGCAAAACTTAACGAAATTTCGACGTTGAAATTGCACTTTTCTCTTTCTTCTTGGAGAACTTACTCATATTTTTCAATTTAGATTAAGCATATTAAACGAAAGGCACGGCTATATGCTTGCGTTTAGATATGATTAACTAGGTTTTGGGATGTTATGAAGAAGTTTATGTGAAATACATGAATAATTATGGTAGATGGAATTCAAACATGACAATTTTCAATCCACTGAAAATAAAACGATAGGGTATGTGGAAGCAGGTCAGAATATAGTTGCCTTGTAGCAGACCTATCAAAATCTCCAAAAAATGTTTAAAAAATATATATAGTTGCTTGGAACATAGAACTTAAAGGTCTCATAACTTTTGAACTAGAATACAAGAAAGTTGAAGTGTTACAATGGACAAAACATTCTATATAATATATAAAAGGGAAAAGATGGGCTGTTTCATCAAACTCATTTTACCTTAATATATCATTCTGGGTTTTTGGGTAAAAGTAGATTGAAGGGTGTGATCTTGGAATTTTAGCAGCTCTTTCAAGGTTTGATCATATCTAGACACAAAGATATTTTAGCAGCTCTAGATATTTTTCAATTTGTATCTTTCAAAGCTATGTGTTTGAAAGGGGGAAGGAAAAGGGCAGAGAGAATGAAGAGTCAAAGGAAGGAAAGTCTGGACAAGAAAATAAATAAAAAGAGAGAAAGAGTGCTAGAGATGAATGCATTGGTCTGCTGCTCAATTAGTCCAAGAAGAAGCCCACCTATAGAAAGCATCAAATTTAGGCCCAAGAGAATTGGAGGCTCCATCTTCTGCCATAAATCTCAGGTGATTCATTAGGCTCTGTGATGAATGCATCTTTTGATGTTAATGATTATAACAGCTTCAATTTTTTTTTCTTTTGTTTAAGAACAACTTTAACTTCTTTCGTTGAATTAGTAATTGGACTTATTGATCTTGATTTTTTGCAATTTTTAATTTCATCATTATGCTTGTTACTCTATTTCCTTTTTTTAATAAAATTTTCAGAATTTTTAAAAAATATCATTAGTAAAAAATATGCGTATCACTCGATTTACAACCGAAATGCCGCGAACAATGCGGAGCAATTGTGTTTGTGACCGCAGCTGATACTGCGATCGCGAACCGTGCTTCCAAGGGTTTCGAATTATTTTTTAACTTAAAACTAATATGCCCTTCAACTCCTCGATCGCACGCAACTTGCATCTGCCGGCAATGACAACGCTGCAAGCTTGAATCACCATGCTTTTGGTCTTCAAGGCTCCAAGAAAACACATCATTGTAGGAAGGCATGTCACCAAGGCCGGTGGAGACCAAATTCCTATCATCAAGCATTCTATACTATACGTGCAACAGCAGTGCATATTCTTTCATTATTTATGTGTATCTGTGCATATATATATATATACACATGCAAACACAGGACCATGCAGTAATTAAGCTGCCAAACGCATAAATCAGCGGTTATTCTGGTAAATTTAATTAAAAAAAAGTGGAAATTTTTTCACAAAAACAAATACCCGATTACAATTTTCTTCTTCTTCTTCTTCTCCTCCAATCACCACTGCTAAAAATTTATCCACAACTTCCTGCACAGCTTGTCTCTGCTTTCCCAATAGGCTCCCTCCACAGTTTCTCAAAGCTAGTAAAGTTATCGATGAGAGATATCAGGAGAAAAAAAGAAAGAAAGGAAGGAAGGTAAAAATAATTGCAAGGATATGGTTAATATGTTTGTTGGGTGTAGGCTTATGGCAAATGGTGGTTCATGCCATCTATAAAATAAGCAATGTTTCCATGCTTATCAGATGATGAGACTCTTATATAGGTCTTTTGTTGAAAGAAATGCCATCAAGCTGTCACAGTCATCATCTTCCCTTTTCTTCATATAATCTACAACAAAATCCATTTCCCTGGAATTCCAAAGATTTCAATCAATAAATTAACTATAATCATCATGATAACCAATACCATCATAAAATTAAAGAAATAGGAAGAAAAATGGTGTCGCTATAAATATTCACTTATTATTGAAACTCCGCAGAACTTTTATGATTATCTTAGAAGATGATTTAATTTCAGAAAATTTCCTTGTTGAATTCTTTTTTTTTTTTTTTTAAATGATAGATGATCAGCTAAAGTTTACAATTCATGTCTTGTTATCAAGTTACATATCACGTGCACCAATCGTGTTTAGTAACTTGTTAATTTCGTAACATCCATTGGAG